TGTTCGCCCCCCAGGCCTACCGGGCGGGGGGCCGGGGACCCCGAATCGTGAGTGGGGCTTTGGGGGGGTTGGGGCGGTTTTTGGGGGGTTTTGGGTTCCCTGGAGGGGTTTGGGTGGGCTGGGCTGGAATTTGGGGGGTCTTTAAGGGGGATTTGGGGCAGTTTTGGGGTGCCCTGACCCCCCCAGATTTTCCCTTCCAGGACCTGGGGGTGACCTCAGCTCTGGGAGGGAATTTGGGGATCGCAAAGGAATTTTTGGGCTCAGATTTGGGGTTTTTGGGCTCTCAGGTAGCTCAGATGGGTCTGGGGTCTTTGATGTCGATTTTGGGGTGTCCTGACCCCCCAAATTTTCCCTTCCAGGACCTGGGGGTGACGGCAGCCCTGGCCTTCCTGTGGCTCGTCAGCTCCTGCGCTTGGGCGGCCGCGCTGGCCGAGGTCAAAGCGGCCACGGCGCCCTCGGGGGTGCTCGCCCAGGTCGGGGGGTGCCAGCGGCCGGGGGCTCGGTGCCAGGCGCTGGGAGCCCCCCGGACCTCGGGGCTCAACACCTCGGTGGTGAGTGCGGGGTGGAAAAACCCTGAAATACAGAAATTTACCCCAAAATACAGAAATTTACCCCAAAAATACAGAAATTTACCCCAAAATACAGAAATTTACCCCAAAAACAGAGAAATTTACCCCCAAATTTACCCCAAAATCCACAAAATTTCCCCCCAAATCCACAAATTTACCCCCAAATTTTCCCCAAAATCCCACCTAAAACACCCTAAAACAACAACAAAAAAAACCAAAAAAATCCCCCCAAAAGCTAAAAAACAAAAAACCAAAAATCCCTCAAAACTCCCCCAAAATCCCCACCCCCAAGCCCCCAAATCCCAATTTTTTTCCCTTTCCCAGGTGTTTGGTTTCCTGAACCTGGTGCTCTGGACGGGGAACCTTTGGTTCGTGTTGAAGGAGACGGGCTGGGGGGGGCTGGGCACCCGCGCCCCTCCCCCAGGGGGGGTCCCCGAAAAATCCCCGGCCCCGGAGGGGGGGTACGGCCCCCCCGAGGGGGGCTACGGCCCCTCCCCCCCCTCCGGTGGCTACCCCCAGCCCGGGGGTGGCTACCAACCCGACTACGGGCAGGGGGGCTTCGGGGCGCCCCCCTCGGACGGGGGGTACGGGCAGGGGACCCCCACGGCCTTCGCCAATCAGATGTAGGGTGAGGATTGGGGGGCTGGGGGGGATTTTGGGGGGATTTGAGGGGGTTTTGGGGG